TTACTTACTTACTTACTTACTTACTTACTTACTTACTTACTTACTTACTTACTTACTTACTTACTTTGTCAAACATGTACAAGATAGCAGGTATAAGTATGAACATGGACATGAACAAAGGAAATGAATACAAATAAATGGGGACAGTAGGACAGGGATGGTAGCCATGCTGGTGCGCTTATGCACACCCTCTTTAAGGACCTCTTAAGAATGGGGTGGTGTCCACGGTAGGCAGTTGAAGCTGTGAGGTTTTGAGGATGTAAAAATGGAGTCAGGTAGAGCATTCCAGGCGTTGACCACTCTGTTGCTGAAGTCGTATTTTCTGCAATTGAGTTTGGAGTAGTTTACCTTGATTACTTCATTGCGCCGTTTTTGCCGCCCTGCTCCACACTATTCTGTCCATGTGCTTCTTTGCACTCTACTTTGCCACTACTTGGGCAGTAGAAGGAAAAGGACATAGGGTCAGGTTACCTACACAACAGGTTTCGTCCTATCTCATCAGCCAGTCTCAATTCATCAGGAAAGGGAAGTATGCTACAGTCCCAAGAGCTAAATAGTTTTGACTGGTGGGATCTAGGAAGAGAGCAGGGTACAGCAGGAGGCCATTCGGGTAAAAAATGGGCTCTGTGGGGGCTGCCTGCAGGTGCCCCCGTGGCCCATTTTCACAACAGAGGCAACGCAGGCCAGTCCTTTGCTATTTCTAGGCCAGCCCAAGCTCCCCACAGGCCAGATCTAGTCCACAGGCACTGAGTTTAACACCCTTGGTCTAGGACTACTGAATATATATGCAATAGAAATAAGTTATTAATATTCTGTCTATATAGTTCTAGAGAAAACAAAGAATATGTTCAGCAAAAAAAAAATGCAAGAAATTCTTAGGTGAATATTTTTCAGAACCTCTTCACCAACACGCCTATACATGAATGTTGTGTTGCTGAAATTCAAATAAGCCATACGCAGTTAATGGCATTAAAATTTAATTTTAAGATAGTACCAAACAAAATAGGAATGTATTCACAAGGAAATATATGGTTCAAGAGAGATGTAGCTCATAAAAATGTATGTCTTTTAATAAAATGTGCTAGCGTGAGAAGATGCTACTAAGCCAGTATTTGAAGCAATGTAATTATTCTTTTTTAACTGAAGGACATCAAACGATAGCGCTCTCAAAGGAAATATTTTATTGTTTCCTCTTTGGAACCATTTAGACTCTATGACAGTGAAGCTACAGATCCTGATGAAGGTGACTCTTCAGGAAGTCCAGATGCATTGAAGGAGTTGTGTATTGGAGTAAGGAAAGCAATAGACTGCAAGGAGCCCGCAAAATCCTCACACTACTACTGTAAGGAACATGCCTCCAAGCCATTTTAAAGCAAGCAGCAAGAGATAAAATATGTGAGAATCCCTTTCCATGAATTACCCCCTTGTTTCATTTTGTCTTTTAAAGGTATAAGACTGATCTTCTGTCCAGAAGCTTGAACAAGCAGTTTATAAGGAATAAAAATAAATCAAAACCTTTTATGAAAAACCCAACAGCAATATCTGCAGAACCTTAAGCAAGTCTTAGTTCAGTATATACAGTAACCATAATGTTCTTGTCCAATACATCACTTCCTTCTTATGATATAAATAAGGAATCTATTGTCATAGGAAATGTGGGATTGCAGCTCTAAAAATGTTCAACCTTGCACAAAAGTATAGTAAGAAAATTCAGTTCAAAAATGATGTATAAAATAGAGATTGAAAATGTTTCAAGGTTTAAATTTCCACATCCAAAAGGTTCCAGCCTCAAAACCATTGCCAACCTTATCAGAAATGGTCTGCCATTGGAATAGCCTGCTCTGACTCTACCAAAAGAAAAAAGTGATTTCAGTATAAGCTTTTTCTACTTACCATTTTCAGAGCCAGAAAATTTTGTTAAGATTGGAATACTTCTGATGAGACTGATGTTTCTGAAATCTGGCAATTTAAATCTTGAAATGATCTGCACACTACTGCTAGAGAGACATATCCCAAGTAAATATTCTACACATATGACCCTAAAAATTTAGGGCAAGTGTTGCAATGATTTGTTTTAATGTTTGTTCCATTTGTTTCTTTAAAAATATACTTGTAAGTAATTTTTGTAATGGAAGTAATCAGATTTTTTTAATTCCTTGAAAATAATAAATTATAACTGTGCATTCTGTAAATAATTGCTTCTAAGCCTTAAAGAATGCTGAAGCACTAGCCAGAGTCATGTTTAAAATCAACAACGAAGGGAACACGGTGCTTCAGTGGTGGGTTGCAGGTGGTATGCCCTGGTATGGGCGTACCATTCCGGTACGGTGCTCCGGAGAGCCCATCCACCCGCCTGAACTCCTTACCTCTGCTTTAAGCCTTTGGCGCTT